CTCCTCAGCTTGGTCTCTGCGCAGGATTTTGACCACCTGCTCAGAGAGACTCATCACGGCGCTGTTCAGCTGCCTGACATATTCACTTATGTCAGCATGCTGCAAAAGAAGAGGTGTTGAATCCCTAGGCATAACCGTGAGAGGACAGGGCATTTTTCTCCCTGTCAGGATTTCATGTGGGCTCACATTTAGTGATTTAGTTGGAGTAGACCTGAGGTTGAACAATACAATTGGTAGAGCTTCAACCCAGTTAAGTTTCTTGTCTGCGCAGACTTTTGCAAGGCCTTCTTTAATGGTTCTGTTTGCTCTTTCAACCAGCCCTCGTGAGGCTGCATGATGAACAGCTCCAAACTTATGCTTGATCCCAAACGTTTGCTCAGCCAAGCGTAAATCTTCATTTGAGAAGTGTGTACCATTATCAGATCTGATTATTTCTGGTATACCAAACCGAGGGATTAATTCCCTTGTGAGCCATTTAAACAGCTCTGTGAGACAGTGTAAATACTCCTCTGTCGATTCCTCCTCCTGTTGTCTGCAAGACGTGATTTTACTCATGTCCACTTTAGTGGGAAACTGGTCACGAAACACAACTCCTAGGGCTGTAACGGCATCTCTGTATGGGGTGTTATCAGCATGATTCCAGTCAGTGTTGCAGACACGCAGGTCGTTTACTGGGAAACGACGAGTCACGTGCTGGAGATCGACAGGTTTCATTCGTTTCAGTTCAGTCATGGTGGGACGAAATTCAGTGCAGAAAATGGAGAGCTGTTCTGCAAATTTCTGTCCAGAAGCTGTTGGGTCTGGAAGATGCTGTGCTGCAGCAGTAATATCAGCAGTGGTCCATGTTCGAAACACAAAGATGGGACCAGTAGGGCCAGACACTTCAACCATGGGTAATGATAGTTCAGCATTGGAAGACAGGCCAGTGGTTGCACTCATGCCATACGCAGCACCACCGCGCGGCTGCAGCAATAATGTCAGCAGTCGTCCATGTTCGGAACACAAGGATGGGGCCAGTAGGGCCAGACACTTCAAACATGGGGAATAATAGTTTAGCATTGGAAGACGGGCCAGCGGCTGCACTCATGTCATACGCAGCACCGCTGCGCAACTGTCTGCGAAGACAGAAGTCCCAGAGAGACCGGTGGGTTGTATGGTCGGGGTTTGATGTCAGGTCTGTCCTGAAGTTGGTGCGTGACAGACGGTCCGGGCCGTGGTGGTGCAGTTGGTACGCAGGAGTTGGGGTGGGGGTCCAGCTTCAGAGCCGTACACTGTGGATACAGAGAGCTGGGCGACAGATTACTGTTTTCTTTTTTACTGACAAGACATTCTTTAGTCTGTCCTGATTTGGACATTTCCTTGAACATTCTCTTTCTTTCCCTTTCTGCTTCATTCCTCCACATGTTCAAACACATTCTATGATTTTCTACATCTTTAAATTCTTTCGGCGATATTTTCCTTTTCTTATATAACACCTCCTCCTTTCCCTTTAATTTATTTTCAAGTTCCTCAATCTTTTTTACACTTAAAGAACCCCCGTGGGGAAAACCAAACTCACGTGTCCATATGGCCACGCTTTGAACACTTTTGTCACCGTACTTCCTCCTCATTATGTCAATAATTGAACTCTCCAGAGGATCCTCCTCCTTACTCGTCTTGTTCCCCATTGTCCTAGATGGGAGCTGTGTACAACTATAATTTTCAATACAAAACAGACGTCTCTGTTAGGGTTCAGTCACTTTTACCTTTTCTCGTGACCAGAACAGGACCTCCTCGCCTTAAACTCTGAATTGAGAACACCTACCTCAGTTTCACTTTTAAGTAGCACCTACACTGAGTATCACGGTTAAGTGACACCTACACTTTCCCGAATTTACTAATTTAACATTCTTCTCAATGTATTTAACCTATTTATTTAACACTCACCACAAAGAATAATCTCCCTCCAAACGTTGGATACTTGGATCCCGTCAGTGATGATCCAGGGCGTCCTCTGACAGTCCCCAGTCACTCAGAAAGGATTTTTTGATATCAGCCACTTCTTCTATCTGACAGTGGTACATACTGTGCAGGGGTTTGTCCTTCAATGATGATTCCTGCTCTTCCTTCCCTTGTTCCTCTGGTTTCTGCTGCCTGAGGTATTCACTAAGCATGTCATCACCTGAGGCCATCTCCGTTATGTATTCATTATTATGCGAGCGGGGTACCTGATGAGGGTGTTACTGTATTTGCCTGGACTTTGTTCTTTCCATTCAGCTGACTTCTCAGGACTTGCCTTACTCTCTGACGGCACTTGGTGGTTGCTGCTTTCCTTGCGGCCTCTTCATGGTTCCTATTTGCCTGGGGGATCCTAAAGTACTTGTAGCTGTCCTCAACATCTGCTATGTTGCCTTCTGATAGTACAATAACCTCAGTCCTGACTACCTTTCCTCTCCTTGTTACCATTCGACCACACTTATCCAGTCTCATTCCGATGTCCTGGCTGTAGATCCTAGTGGTGTGGATCGGTGAGTCGATGTCTCGTTCACTCCTGGCATACAGCTTGATGTCATCCATGTAGAGGAGGTGGCTGATCATTGCTTTATTCCGTAGTCGGTATCCGTAACAGCTCTTGGTGATGATCTGGCTGAGGGAGTTCAGCCCTATGCAGAACAACAGCGGGGGCAGAGCATCTCCTTGGTAGATACCGCACTTGATGTTGACTTGATGTGCAATTTGCTTGAAGTTGGCCTCTAGGGTTGTTTTCCACATTCTCACTGAGTTCTTGATAAAGGCTCTTAGAGTCCTGTCGATGTTGTACAGTTCCAAGCATTTCAGGATCCATGTGTGAGGCATTGACTCATAGGCTTTCTTGTAGTCAATCCAGGCAGTGCACCGGTTGCTATGTCTGATCTTGCATTCTTGAGTGCCTACTTTATCAACGAGTAGCTGGTGCTTTGCTTCTCTGGTGTTATTACCAATTCCTTTCTGGGCCCTGCTCATGTATTGAGCCATGTGCCTACCCATCTTAGCTGTTATGATGCCCAACAGGAGTGGAGAACATTCGGTTTGCTCTCTGGCTTCAATTTCCCTGGTGTACCTCTTCAGCCGGGTGGCCAGGGCTGTGAGCCTTTGCTTGGCAGTCTCTAAGGCCTCAGAATCAGAATCAGAATCTGCTTTACTGGCCAGGCGTGTTGGACACATGAGGAATTTGACTCAGGTACATCGGCTCTCAATGTGCAAACAGCAAACCAGCATAAGGCTGTGTAGTATAACAAAAATAAAAATAAGCAGTATTTACAAGCAACAGAAAGTGCAAACAATGCAGAATAAGCAGTATGTACAGACAGTAACAATGCAGACAACAAAGGAATGTTCTTTGTAATGAGATAAGTAGGGATAAAAATAGAGTAATTAAAACAGAGTACTAGAGACCTGTACAAGTCTGTATAATCTGTACAATGTATATATTTACAGGTATTGCAGGTATTGAGGTTTATTGTCCAGTCATATGGTCATTGGTTAAGTGTTCATCAGAGTGACAGCCTCTGTGCCTGGTTGTCTTAGTGCACAGTGACCTGTAACGCCGTCCAGAGGGGAGGAGTTCAAATAAATTGTATCCCGGGTGTGAGGGGTCTGCAGTGATCCTCTCCGCCCTCCTTTTGACTCGTGAGCTGTACAGGTCCTCCTCAGGTATGGACAGTGAGTTATATTTCTTAGATACCCTTTTCTTCATCACGCCTTTCTGCAATTCCAATAGCTAGCTAACTTCTCTCCTTGTTGCCTTGATCTTGGTCTCCAACCTCCTTCTCCATGGAGGATACTGCTCCTTATGGCTGTTGTTGAACTTATAGCCAAGCATCTCAAGGATCATGGTTGTTGTGATGTACGTATATCAGCATGCTGTGTTCTATATCAGCTTGTTGATCTCAGTGATAGTCATAGTAGGGATTTCAGAAGGCATTTCACTTAGTCTTGGTAACCTGCCACGTAGGTTCCAGGTGTCCATCTTGGTAGTGATCTTCAATCTCAGGTCAGCTGCTCTTGCATTAAGCTCATCTGGGCTTGTTACTGTGGCTTGGTACCCAATCTCCAATTGTGGGGGTAATAATATCTCCCCCCCCGACCTGTTGTCCTGCCTCCTTCTTGCTGTAGCATTTGTTTCGTGTTCTCTCTCTCTCCATTTTATATATATATTTGCCATTCATAGGCTGGTAGTGTGAGCCTGACTGGGGCTTGACTATGTCTGAGGGCTGCATGCCAGGGAAAGCCGAGTAGGCATGTAAAAATACATGAGGGTCAGAATGTTAGGAATACCTGAACAGTACATACAGAACAGTTATAGTTGTCTAAAGTAATAATCTGACCTAAGATTAAATTCATAGACAAAGATTACATAGGTTTTGCTAATGCCAATGCAAGAAAGCCACAGAGGAAATTGCACCACCATTCTTAACCACAGGAGAGTGCCAGATGAACATAAATGAAGTCCACTCCAGTGAGAGATTATAGTGATGTGTCATCCAAATGAAATAAACAGCAAACTATGTAACAATTAGTTAATATGTCTTAGTTGTGTAAACATAATGTACAACACAGTTCACCTTTGACTTTAGGAAGTGGCCCTGGTATATCTTAGATATTTTATCAGTGTATATGCAACTTTATTTCACTACTATTCATTGCCTGTTAGTAGTTTTGCTTGATGTGTTCAGGCTTGAACCATCTATATGTTACATGCAACAGCAGGTGGTCAACACGTAACTGGTCATATGCCATGAATAGCTGGGACATTCAAGACTCTTGTTTACATCAATATGCATTCTAAATATAAGTATCTAGGCTGTGCAATGTTCCACGGGGCCTCAAAACCTGAATTTTAGCTTACGTATAAGGTGCTATTCAAGTTTATACACACCATTAAAGGGAACCAAGTTACGCTAAGGTATAACTGGCAGGAATTTCTACTGCTGCCATAAAAACAAGACAAACCTAATTCTTTAGGAGGATTGTATCATATTATGATGCTGCAGTATGTGCAGTGTGAATCTGAGCTCATTAAGTGAATTGCCTGAAATGGGAAACTCTGCTGTCCTGAGCCTTCTTCAATCAGCCAAATACAAAAGTCAACAAATTCCTTATATAGCCTCTGAAGAGGTAGGCAAAGAGGCTTATATAATTATATTCCAAATATGTGGAAGATTGTTTGCACTTTGTTAGATTTAAGTTAAACGTACTGTCTTTTATTCTAAACAGGAATTAAAGCCACATTAAGAAGTAATAAAAACAAGAAAGATAAATGAAAAAGAAATGCAAAATTCAGTAAAGACTGAAACTCAGTTATTTTTAATCAATGATCTCAGTGCAAGTTAGAATGAATGACTGTCAGTGACAAAAGCAGCTTATCACATGAAAACAAATCAACTTCAAAGGTCAAAGTGTTTATTTGTCATATGCACAGTCAGGAAACATCTTACTTTGTCATCCACATGAATGCCAAAAAATAACAAAAGAAATAAAGTAGATAAATAAGTAACAAAATTGACGACACTTGAACATAAACCCTGAAGACAAAATTCATTTTAAACAGATAAAATAGTTTAGGGTACCTCAGTCTGTCTCTGCAGACATCACCACTTAATTTAGTTTCATACTAAAACTACACAACACCGCATAGAATAATGTGAAAGGAAACAAAGTGTGCTAGTTTCGAGAGACCCCATCTGAGTGGTATCTCCCTTTCATTCAAAAATAAAACAAACTCAATTTGAATTAGTTTAAATGACAACTCAATCATTTTCATAATATTGTCAGAAATAAATACGCAAATTGGACAGAGGCCACAACCTAAAATGACCATAAGAGCAGATAACAGATGGGTCTCCTCCCTCTGAGCACTGCCTTCACTGTGAGTTCATGGATTGTTGTGTTTTCACCAATGTGGCCTCTAAATATTGTTAAATATCATTCAAGTTCAAAGGAACCCAATGTTTCGAAGTTGCATGTATATACATATAATAGCTTCTCACGAGAAAACGTGTAAATCAAGGACTCCTTTACATCATGACCTCTAGCTTCACTGTGGTTTGGGTTGGCAGAAAGAGCAGGAACACTGCTTGCAAGCCAGCATTAGTGAAACTGGAAGGGTATGATTGACACTAAAGAGCTACAGTACAAGTTGTTCCTCTACCCCAGTACCACCTGTAAAATTTAAATTCAGCAGTAAGGTCTGTTAACCAGCAGCTCCTGGACAGGACATTTGGTCCATTATCTTAAAAATAAGAAAACCTGTCTCCTAAAACCTCAAAATGTTGTTTCTTAAATATCTTATTTAAAAAGCCTTTCCATGTGTGAATTACTTCACAGTTAGCCCAAACACACCTTAGCCTCCTTTGCTAACTTTATTTGGACTGCATTAATTATTCATGTTACAAAAATGAGGTCTTCACACACACACACACACACACACACACACACACACACACACACACTAGTTAGAAGCACTCAGATGTAGTTCTCATAAAACACCCACATCATGATGACACCCATTGTGGACTATCAAATAAAGGGAAATTGTGTTGATGCTAGAATGAAGGAACACATGACACTGTCAGCTAATCGTGCCACATTACCAATGTGAAGCTAGAGGCCAAAAAGTGCACAGATACATTTAAATGGTCTCAGAAATAGATACATTTTCACAAACACTTTAAATACATTTTAACCATACTTCAATACAGTGTTCCCCAGAGCAGCTTGTAATATTTAAAAACTAATACATGCCAGGATGGGAAGACAACTCTTAAAAATACACAATGGGCTCTATTCTGCTGAAATAGGGTGCTGAGGGAAATGCAATTGTATACTGCAGGCTAAAGCACATGGGTGTATCCAACATTTTTTTTGTTGTTGTAATTTTGGTGGCCATGGACATTAGCTGCAACCAGGCACCACATGGAAGAGAAGCGGAATACATTATTAGTGGAAGGAATGCATCATGAGTAGCTGAGTCAGGACAGGCTTTAGTGATGGCCAATCAAGCCAGCTTCTTTCATTTCTTTTAAAAACACAAGAAACCTGACTTTGACCACATATGAGAGTGAAGTAAGATTTCCCCCCTTTTTCCCCTTTATATAGCAAGCTAGTAATGCTAACTAAGCTAATGTTAAAATAACTTACAGCTGATGCCGAGGTCAGCATGCTGTATATTGTAGCTGTTTACTGCTCTTCAAGTGGACAATGGTAATGCTAATTCTTGAACTCTGATGCTGAATGTTTGCCTCAGTCCAGAGGAATATTGAAAAAAAAAATTCCCTAGATTAGACTGAAGCAGCAAGAGAAAGGGAGACAGGCAACATGCTGTCATGAGAGAACCAGCTAGTGCAGAAGCTACAGATATGCAGTGTTACTGTATTTAATTTACCGCCACAAGTTCTGTAGGAAACACTGCAGTGCCTTCGCACAACACCCCTGTACTAAACTGTTATGAAAAGTCTGAGCCAGTTTTAACACAAATGTGATATTAAATTGAAATGAGTACAAAACTGCCCCGCACTGCCTAGTCAGCATAAATACAGCCTCAGCTTCTACTCCCACTTCAACATAAGCACATTCATTCATGGTGGGAAAATACCAAACACACCAATGCACAAGAAATGCAGACTTGTGCCTAAGGAAAACTGCATAAAGAATGTTTAAAGCTACGCTGGCAGGAGCCCTGTATGTCATAGACCACAGTGGTTTGATTATTAGACACCCCAGCTGCTCCACCCCAGATACCTGACTGATCACAGGTTTTTACACACAATGACATGGAGATCTATTTTTGGCATTTTCATTGGTCATGCCTTCTAACAACTGCTCAGCAGTGAAGACAAATTTGAATTCCATTTATGGCAAAAGCAATACTACAGCAGTGATTCGCCTTTGCAGACAGTCATGATGTGGAATTCTACTTCTGGAAGCCACTGTGCAGCAACATACTGTATTAGGTGGATGAGAAATTCAGTCTCCCATCCCTGTCCATGAGCCTCTGGGCTTCACTCAAAGAGATTTTGTTTCTCCACAGCCTGAAAACCACAGTGGGAGAAGTTTTATGCAGCATTTTTTAAATGTTGTAAAAATACAAATATAGCAAATTTCAACCAAACAACAAGACAAACTGTATTCCAGAAATGCATAGTGACAAAACAAAACTAATCTTTGCTTTACCAGTAGATAGTTTAGGTGGTTAAGACAATCTACAGCTGTCTGTTTAACCTTATCTAAGAGACACTAGGAGAAAGTGTTCACCTAATGAGCTGAAGAGCCGGACATGACTGCAATGCTTTAACCAGGGCCTCCGCTCCAAAGACCATTATACTGTTGGACTCCAGACTAGGAGAAAAACCCATATATGTAAGGGACAAGGCAATCAAGCAAGGAAGTGAAATGTAACCAAGTTTGAATCAACAGTAGCACATTTTAACTGCAATTTTAAAAGCCAAGTACAATCAGTTGTGTAAGATTTAGCTAGTCACATGCAGATGAGCTTGGGCTCGCATTTGTGCTTGTTTAGTTTCAGGAAAATACAAAAAAAAGTACCTAAAAACAGTAAAGGTTTTTAGAAGTAGAAGGAAAAATAATCAAGCCATAAATACAAATCCATGCAAATTGTAACAGTGATGAGTGTGTGTGTTTACAAACTCACTCTATTCTGGTCAGCTTAGTACACAAAGGCAAAGTTTTGGCCAACTCCACAGCAACATTATCACGACAGTTATTCCATCCCATACTGGACAAACAAACACAAGGAGTGTTAAACAGTTTCTTCCTCTTTATATATTGCATAAGCATAAGTAATATTTCAGGCTCCATCACACCAGGAAGTTCACAAGTCATGATTATAGGTCACACTGAACACTACAGCTAAAACCAAGGAGGCTCTTGTACTTTGCAGGATTGTTTCAAATAAATTAGATGAGCCATACTGATGCGTTCAAACAATACTAGAGTTACAAGGCACCCAGTTAGCTGTCATTTTTTTTATATTACCTACTTGTACTGTACCACTACTATATTATAATTTCCCATCTTACCTCACATCCTGTATGAGGGGGCAGTGAGCCAGACTGGCAGCTACAACACAGAGCTCTGCAGTGCCAACAGAGGTCAAACTGAAAGACCATACAAGAGAAAGGCACAGTCTGTAAATCTAGTCAGTAATGTGAATCCCAAAACAATAGGAGCTAATGAGCCTTACTTAATCTTGGTGAGATTCATCATGCACATTATTGCTTTGGACAGACTTGCTGAGCCTTCATATCCAATCCTGTTCTCTGAAATACTAGAAAAGACACATACAAGGATAAAGAGCACAAACCTCAGGACAACTGACAAATACAGTAAATGTCAGTAAGACATTTAATGTGTGACTTACTCCAACACAGTGATGTGTGTCAGCAATGGTAGAACAAGGGCCATGCTGGCAGCAGTGAGATCACCAAGACAGTTTCTGGAAAGACTGGTAGACAGCCAGATGGTTAATTTTTTACTAATAGAAATATGTACATTTTCTGTCTGTATTCTTCTCAAACCAAAATACATGTAAACAAATGAACACAAACTGTTTAAATGTAAGAGTGTTTACATGTGGTGATAAAAAGTGTTAATTGAACCAAAATGACATATAGCTCCTTTATCCAAGAAGTGCACATGTGATTGAACATTAAAAGTGTCATCTCATGTCCTTACTGTAGCTCCTCTAGGTGCCTACAGTCAGTCAAAGCCTCCAGTAGCTGCTTTCCTGATTGGTCGCTGACATTGTTCTTTGAGAGACTGCAGGATGGACACATGCGTAACAATAAATGCAAAATAAGTAGTTTGATATTCTTTTCTGAAAACCTTGGAAGCTGGAATTGAGAGAATTTTAGAGTGACATTAAGGTCACAGTGTGACTGATATGACCTTTGGGTGGTGCCAAACTGAAAAATGTTCAAATGCTATACTTAACGGAATCCAAGACAGATACAGTATATAACAATAAAGTGTAAAGTAGTAGTTTGGGATCCATAACATGTATGTGTAAAAAAAAAAAAAAAAGACACCAAGCAAAGTGTAAAACTGATCACATTCTAATTAACTATGTAGCTGAAACAAGGTTTTGTCATCAGAAACCATCAATGATTTGCAAGCTTATAATTCCATGGGTGGTGTGTGCACAGCATGTGTAAAAAGTAAAGTGAAGAGACATTAATATTTCTCTAAAGAGCCAAACTGGAGAAACCTATTGTAGGAGTCATACCTGATCTTCCTGAGTTCTTTCCAGGTAGAAAGGAGTCTGGTCAGCTGCTGTACTCCTCTATCTGCCATCCTCCAGCCCTCCAACCTGAAACCACAAGTCCAACATCACTGAAGACTGCTTCATTTATAAGACTGAAGTGAGGATGATCACATTTGCCTATGTGCAGCAAACTTTGTGTAGTATAGGTGAAAAACTCACTCCAACTCCTCCATTTGTGTGAGTCCTTCCATAGCAGCCAGCAGGTCCAGCATGCTGTCAACGTCTGATGTCCCCATCAGTGTGACAGTCTCATTCAACCTGGCACGCACACACACACACACACACACACACACACATGCTATTTAACCAAGAAAACAGGCTCTTATACTGGTTCTGAAGAGGGAGTGAATATCCTATAGTTGACCATTATGGCACAATTATTACTTGTGTTAAAAAAGCTTATGTGAGCAGAATTTATATCAGTGTAAATACATTTATTTATATGCTGTAGAAAAATGTTCTGACCTCGCAGCTTGTCAGCGAGCAACAGTTTAGCTTGAAACTATTCCATCACACGCCCGACGTTAGAGAGACATGCATGGACGTCTATAGCACATCAGTTGGTCTAAGTCCCTTTTTTGGTATGTGTGATATGTGTGGTAGAGGTTCAAAACCCAACATCTGAATACAACTCTTTTTGGATGTCTTCATAAAATTCAAAATCAAAGTTTATGTGACTCAAACATTGGCATGTGTTTTGGATCTGTTCTGGGTGTCTACTAGCCTCCAGTGTACAGTCAGGGGCAAAAACATTAGCTCGCCTGCATTTCTGTCAGATAATGCACCACTTCTCCCAGAAAACTGGTGCAGTCTTTGGTATTCATTCAATGTTCATTTTCTTTGTTTGCATTGGAGCAAAAAAAAAAAAAAAAAAAAAAAAAAAAAGAGAGAGAATTCTCCAGCACATTGCCTGAAACCATGTCTGGGTGCTTTTTGAAGTCTGCTCTGGGTCATTGTCCTGCTGTAAGACCCATGACCTCTGACGGAGACCCAACTTTCTGACACTAGGCCCCAGAATTCGCTTGTCTGGAAGTTGATCAAGGTTCTTTATCCATCACTTGCAACAAAGGATTGTTCAATCTGTCATCTATTTTTCTCTTTTGTCCACATCCAGAAATGCAGGGGTGCCAATATTTTGGCCATGGCTGTAGGTCCCCAAAAGATAGTCAGATTCTGAACATCAGTGAACATCCAAGGTGTCACGTTGCACTCAGGACAATAATCTGCTGGCAATACCTGTCACATTATTGCTAAATAACATTTCCAATGACATTCAGCTAACTTGCAGCTATATGTCACTGTTGTCGCTAGTATTGTTACTGTATTAATGCATGTTAACAAATTCTGGGGGCATAGTTTCAAACCCTTAACTGATTCATGTGAGCAGTGAAGCAGCAGCTTTAGCAGTGACAGTGTAAGCAAACAAGACACTGCATACAGACCAGGGTGTTAGAGTGGTTCTGGGTACATGCATTTCAGTGTTACTACAGCAGGAACAGTAAAGGTGTCTGCTTGAAATAACTCTGCATGCTTAGCGCCATATATTTAATAAGTACCTAGCTATAAAAAGTCAAAATCAGTTCTAATGATCATACATTTTTACAAAAAGAATCAGAATCAGCTTTATTGGCCAGGTGTGTCGGACACACGAGGAATTTGACTCTGGTACATCAGCTCTCAATGTGCATGTACATGTCAACAAGGGAATGTGCATTAGGAAAGAGATAGTAAAAATAAATAAATAAAGTAGAGTACTTATAAATAAATCAAGAGTACTTATAAAACAAGAGTGAAATCTTTATACATTCATGTACTAACTTATCTCAGTAACTCTTAAATGGGATTTCAGGTTCTAATGAGACTGATACAGGAGATTATAGACTGTGGTTCTTACTTGAGACTGCGAATGCAGCTGATATTCCTTAGTGCTTGTGCCAGACACACTCTCTTGTCTTCATCCAGATGCACAGAGTCTAGACTTGGGTTGCACACACACAGAGTACTCAGAACTACTTAAAACTTGAAGACATCGACTCTGTATTCAGACATTTTTGTGCATGTGTTCATTCATGTGCATACAGTACATGTGTGCCTGCGTGCCCTACCAAAGACCTTCCAGACTGACGCACTGCCCCAGTGCTTGGACAAGCTGCAGCCCTCCAACCGGTGACCATTCACTATGAGACAGACTAAAGAACACATGTCAAATACTTTACTTTGTACTTTAAGTGTCTAATGTCATTACCACTAGTTTCATATTTAATACTGTATACAATGAATGTTAAATGCTTACTTGAGTGATCGTAGACGGGGAAACAATCTGGTCATAATCTGAACTACTGTGTCACTAATCACATGACCTGACAGACTGTTAGAGACAAAGGAAGAATATTTGTACTGATTATTTTGTAAATGAGTGGTATAATAAAAACTTATTACCCGAGGTGTGGTAAAATATGAAATAAATAAACTTCAAACATTTACTCAATGCACGCTAGGAAGCACTGGAGATGTCTCCGTGCAGTATGTGTCAATATCCAAAAATATTGACGCATACTGTAATCATGTGAACATAGACAATAATTGGAGGGCTGACAAGGACTCGGCTAATTACATCCATTACTATTCATTAATAAAAATTAAAAGAAACAGATCTGGCCTGGCTGTGTTTTTGTCAGTGCAGCAAAGCCCTCTCAACTACACACAAAGACAATTATACTATGATATACAACTGAAGTACTGCTATTGAATTGCCTCCAAGGAAAGTAACAAAATGTGTTGCTCACTTTAAGCTCTGAATGGATGTAGCCTGCAGCAAGGCCTCTGACAGCTTCTCATCCACAGCGGCACAAGTCTCTTTGGAAGCAATACTGCAAAAGACCAGAGCAGATATTTATACAACATCAAAACAGTCATCAGTAAAAGAGCCAAATGTGAAAATGGGTCTAACCTGAGAGAAGTAAGATTTGGCAGCCAGGGCAAAACAGAACAGAAAAACTCAGCTCCCTCTACACCCAGGCTGTTCTGGGAAAAACTGAATAAATACAGAGGATTTTTTTTTTTTAGTTTCTTCCATGATTTACAGATACATCTCCCTTGCATACTGACAAAATAGAGAGTACTAACTCCAGCTCTTTCAGCAGGGGACACCTCTGGATGATGCTCCTCATAGGTGCAAGCTGGTACCCCTGTAGCGCACAGCCCACAAGGCTAGAGGAAAGCAGAGCAGAGATTAACACCTACTCCCAGCAACATACTATTTTCTGGTATTTATTTCTGGCTGTTATCAAAGACCTAGACAGATTAGGTTCTACCCTTTTCTGTATTTGAAGCCATTTTGTTATTCTGGGTTTGAATATTTGAAGTGACTCTATCAGCCACTGGAACCAAAATCTTTTCTGATACCATGTGCAGTAGGTTAGGGTAACCCTAACCCCAGTAACAGTGCTGCTGTTTTTCTCCCTGACATTCCTCAAATTGTTTCAAAGTGTAAGGGTCACAGCTAAAACAAAATAAAAGTACAAAACAGGAAGTCTCCTGAGATCATGACATGCCTTGGTAAGGGCAAAGTTCATGTTTATTTCTAATCTAACATGAAAATAGAATTATGCCCTTAGATCAGAGGCCTGTGATAAATATTCTGCATCACTTGCATTGTTCTAGCACATTTAAATGAAACAGTACCCTATTTTCTCTGTGGCCACTGATGGGGCTGGTTCTGCAGAGTCAGCACTGAAAACACAAAGCCACAACATTATTTAAAAGTCACTTTAATGTTGTAAATGTAACTACTTGCTGCTGAACTCCAGGCGACTACAGATTCTGGCTTTTATTGAGTATGATTATAGTTTACATGAGTCTCCTTTGCAGGGTTAAGATAACGTGATATTTATTACCTGACTGAAGTCAGTTCAGTAGACATCACCAGACCCAGGTGTAGCATGGTGTGGTCCACCCTGGAAAGGACATGTGTTCCAGATTCAACACTCATAACATCATATGGGACTTTTTACAGTGAGTGTGAATATTTGTAGAGTGTATGATCTTCTAACACGTATGTGTGTCTGTGTTTGCTTTTAGCAATTGCATATTTCACCTAATAGTCTGAATGTTGCTGTTGAGCTCAAGACAGCGACACACTAAACGAACAGCTTCCTCAGCTGTGATCCAACATTCCTCAATGCTGCAAAACAGAATGTAAGAAAGCTCAGCGTCTACCTAAGCAGATCACCACCACTCCACTATTTCAACAGAAACAGAGGTACAGTGTGTTCAGCCACAACTAAAAATTTGATTGTATTAACAAAAGCAACACTAAAAAATGAAAAATGTACTATAGCTAAAAATTCTTCACCTATTGCTTCTAAAAAGTTAGGGCATACCAACAACTTATTTAAATGTACTCACTACAACGTACAGCAAAATGGCTTCCTTTGCTTGTACGTATGTTGTCCAGAAACCAGTGTGACACTTCCCTTAAGGAACAAACAGCGGCTTCTACTCATTCTCACCTGACTCTCAATCCTCTTTGACCACCATTCAGGAGTTTCACAAAGTCTTCAATCCACCCCGACTGCAGTGAATTGTTCTTGAACCTGTGGTCCAACCACAAAGCCATCATTACTGATTTTCCATTACTGATGGAAAGTAAAATAAATTCCAGATGCATAAAATACATTTAATTTTAGCAATTTGCATTTGAAAAATATAAATGCTGCATTAAAAACTTTTAGTCTCTAGGGTAAAAAATAAGCAAAGCCTTTACTGAAGACAGGTTAAACACTTGGTTAAAAATGTTAATTCCTCAGGAAGTACGAGATACATCTTTGTGTCTTCATCCTCATGCATCCAGAAAGCTTTATACAGTAAGACCGAGATCTGTTATTGTTTTTTTCACAGAATTTTCTCTATAAAACAACTTGTCCTTCAATGAAACTTTGTTTGTGCAGTGTCCACATAAAAAGCCATTACAATTTTATTTAGAAAAAAATTTGACATTTGTTTTCCTAATTTCCTGAAAAGCTTTTTTAATATGATGAGAGCCATGACAAGGCCCAACCACTGAGATGTACTTACTCCAGCTTGGTCAGACTGGGGCAGGTAGCTACGATCTCTGCTAATCTGACCAGATGTTCACGTTCCAAATTGCTTTCTCTGACACTGACAGAAAAGACAGGAGAGACCAAACATTAACTCAACATATGAGGATTTATCAGAGATAAAGCATTTACTGCCTGATGAACTGAAACCTGTAAACCAATCAAACTACAAACAAGGAGAAACGTTGCTGTCAGTTGAGAAAATAAATTCAAATCTGATGTTGCTCAGGGGCAGCACAGTGGCGTGGTGATTAGCGCTGTTGCCTCACAGCGAGAAAGTTCCAGGTTCGAGCCCCGATCAACCTGGGGCCTTTCTGTGCGGAGTTTGTATGTTCTCCCCGTGCTTGCGTGGGTTCTCCCCAGGTGCCCCGGCTTCCTTCTCCTTCCTTCCTCACACATGCAGTGTAGGTTGATTGGTGTCTTTAACTTGCCCATAGGAGTGATTGTGTGTGTGAGTGGTTGTTTGTCTGTGTGTTAGCCCTGCAATGACCCCATTTGGGACTAAGCGGTTTAGAAAATGGATAGATGGGTGTCCCTCAAACCCATTTTAGCATTAAAACTGTGTCATTGTGTGGTGCGAACATGGTGAAATTGTGTGCTTGCTTTGCAATGACAGATATTTCGACACTTCCTGTCTGTCAGTGCTCGCCAGGATCACTTTAGATGGTTTTAGTGCAAAAACCTGATACCTCTGTTGTTATCTCCGGCTGACATATAAATTATCGAGACTTGATCTGTGCAGAAATTTCTTAGAATATAACACAATCTATAGCATTATTTTAATTTTGAGTGAGTAAAATAGGGTACAAGATCAGAAACACCTCACAAGGATCTCTTGGCTTCCTTTCTTCCTCAGTTTGCACCCACTGTAAATTTATACACTGCTCTTTATACACTTGTACTGATTCTAGTCTTACCTCAGAGTTTTTTCACAACCTCCATATTGTGTGAACCAGATGAGACACCTCTCCTCTTTTCCCAGTCTACCAGCAGAAAGTTGAGTTCATGGGCAAAGACACAGACAGACTTCATTAATTCTTATAGTTTTTCTTTTCTGGTCCTTTGTTCACTTCTCTCCACAGCACACAGACTCACCGGACTTCTACGTCAGAGATGTTATCACAGGTACACAGTGAGCTGGCCACATCCAGCAGGCCCTGCTGGGTCAGGCTATTGCTGCTGAGACTGTAGGTGAGGACGCATTAAAGAAGAAGTCTTTTGACATGCCACAGTAGGAAAAGCACATCTATAAATACAATTAATCCATTTTATTTTCCATCCATCCATCCATCCATTTTCTTCCGCTTATCCGGGGCCGGGTCGCGGGGGCAGCAGTCTAAGCAAAGATGCCCAGACCTCCCTCTCTCCAGACACTTCCTCCAGCTCCTCCGGGGGAATGCCGAGGCGTTGAAAACCCACGTACGCACAGGAAGAACATGTAAAGTCCACACAGAATGGCACCAAGTTGGCCGGGGCTTGAACCTGGAGTCGTCTTACTGTGAGGCAACAGCACTAACCACTGTGTGGCCAGATCTAATTTGACAAAAAAATTGGAGTTGAGCACATAATGTGAACATGGCCTTAGTTTTGTTCAGTTGATGACCCACTACACGTACCAGGTTACATTATTCAAATGTTAATTGTCATTGTCCTTCTTCACCACGACGGATCGGTACATCGACCGCATTGCTGCAGAAGCTGCACCGATCTGCCTGTCAATCTCCCGTTCCATCCTTCCCTCACTCGTGCACAAGACCCCAAGATACTTGAACTCCTCCACTTGAGGCAGGAACTCTCCACCAACCTGAAGGGAACAAGCCACCCTTTTCCGGCTGAGAACCATGGCCTCGGATTTGGAGGTGCTGATTCTCATCCCAGCCGCTTCACACTCGGCTGCAAACCGCCCCAGTGCATGCTGGAGGTCCTGGTTTGATGGGGCCAACAGGACAACGTCATCTGCAAAAAGCAGAGACGAAATCCTGTGGTCCCCAAACCGGACTCCCTCCGGCCCCTGGCTGCGCCTAGAAATTCTGTCCATAAAAATAATGAACAGAACCGGTGACAAAGGGCAGCCCTGCCGGAGTCCAACACGCACTGGAAACAAGTCTGACTTACTACCGGCAATGCGAACCATTTTATTTTCTGTAAATAAAATGAATGATTGTTGGGCATATCTTACTTGACATAGCTGGTGATTTTAAGGCTTGGCAGAGACTCCACGAGCTGCTTCACTCCTTTGTCTCCCAGATGATTACTCGATAAACTGCAGGCAAGAGAAAGAGTTGCTCAGTAGCCAATACCAACAGTTTAGTGAGAAAGCACAGGTTTGTACATCTGTTTATTGTAGGAGTGTGTGTAAGTGTGTGTGACACTCACTCCAGGTCAGACAGCGGAGGACCCTGCTGCAGGATCTCGAGCAGTCTCTCCAAGTCGTCACTGGTCAGGTTAAAATGAGTTAACCTGTGTGCACAGTCAGACAGACAGTACATAAGGTATTATTATCCATTTTGTCACTCAACAGAGCCCAGTGTTAACTACAATTAACACTTTATAATCAAATAAGCAACTACCCCTGCTAGTTTCTCTTCCTCTTCTTGAATCATCATTAAATGCTACTTTTGTGCCATAAAATGCCTTTTTTGTGACTCTCAATGGGCTGCTATAAACTGTTGCATATTCTTTCAGCTTAGTAGTTTAGAAAGCCAAACATACAGTCGGCACATGTAATTTTTGTCAATTACAATAAAAACACAGAGGGAGATTGCTCGCCAAGCTACTGTTCTGTCTTCAGCTGTGGTAAACAGCATTCTCTGTCATTGCTGCAGAGCTTGTGGTCATTGTCAAACTGAACCACATACACTGACAGTCACACTGAAAGTGAAACTATCAGATATGCTGTACATAAAATGTACGTTTGCAGGAATAATGAACAGAGCAGTCTGAAAAACAAACACCCACCAAGTAGTTTAGTTATATCAGTAGAAAGCACATAAAACTTTGTTTCGTTGCGGACAGACCTGCAGCTGGTTTGCTCGGCTTTCACGCTGTCAAAATGGATGAAGGATTCACACTCAGGGCTGAAGAAAAGTTCAAAGCAGCATTTAATACAAGCATTATGAAGTGGCAGGTATCAGTAAATAACAATCAATAGAATTACAGTAACATATTTATTGTAGTGTAACAACTGCAGAGAGCACCTACTTAACTTTTTAAACTTGGTGTAATACTGTACATGTAACACAGTTAAATATTGTACCTGAGCCCCACTGATGTGACTCGCTGACTGACAGTCAAACAGCTGACCAATGTCAACGCCCCAGTCGTGGACATGATGCTGTGGCTGACACTGGAGGCACAGAGGATATAGTGGATGGATTCAAATTAAATGAGGAGGTAATCAAATTACAGTGGTGAGCGATGAGAATAAATGCTAGAGTTAATGTGTTTGGTGGCCATGGTCTAAAACTAACTACAACTACAGTATAACTTTATGTGAAGTAGCAGAGTGGATTAGTTTACAGTGGACCACCTTTAGGCTTTAGTTTATTCTAAAGGTGGGGCTTTTTTTGTATTTCACACCATGGTATTATTTTTGCCACCTACCAAAAAATTTGGCACCAAGTAACACTCGTTTATGAAGCTCAAAATGTTTCAGGTTTTGGTGAAATTGTCATAAATATATAAATTCAATTATATGTTTATTACTGGGGTCATAGTTAAAGGTGGTGTTGTACTAGACATTATATTCAGAGGGGTTCCTAATATTCTGACCCTCTCATGTAACATTTTGAGCTTCATAAACACAGATGTTAAGGTGGTTGTGTTGTATCGAAGTGCATACAATTTGTACAGGTGTACCTAATAAAGTAGCTGGTGTGTTTATGTGTACATCTTACTTGAGTCTCCGCAGTGACGCCATCTTTGGCAGAACTTTAAGCAGACTCTCAATAGCGTCATCTTTCAATGAGCTGTGAGACAAACTGACACAACATAAAAATATGTTAATGTATACCTGTTTCTTAATAGCATGAAATAATACTGTGAATAAACAATAGTTCCACTTACTCCAACTCCAAAGGGGAGTGACACTGGACCAGTCTCCTACATAGTATGGTGATATCAGATGGCAGGAGGATGCTGTTGTTTAGCCTACAAAAATAAAAGAGGATCACTTCTGTAGTAGCAACATGTTTTGAAGAAAACAAAAGCCAGAGGCATGTCAACTATGTATTTTTCCTCTAGCTCTTTATCACTTTACCATACCTGAACAACTTGAGCTGCTGTTTGTCACCGCTGAAAAACGGAGAAAAACAAGACAAGTCAAATGCAGACAGTGGTATTCAGATGACTGAAGGTTTTCGGATGCAGCTCTTCTACCTTTTGTCAGGGCAGAACTTCAGGAGCACCTGCTCTGTCCCTCCCTCTCTGTAAAACCAACAGGGCACCATCAGATTAAAATTCTGTACTTTTTAATGTCAGTTTATAATTAACAGGGACATTGTCTCCCCCTCAAATTAATCTCTGTGCAAATTTATATGGTATCTTGCTGCATGGCAGCTTGCTGTGTTGGCATGGATGGATTACAGAATGGGCCTACTGGGCACAGGACCAGGGGCCTAAGAGATCAGCCTCTGTATGAGTGACAGTTAATATTTCTTGTTTGAAAATCTTAGAACTCAGGTAAAACTCAGGCTACAAATGGCTATTAAATATACACAAACAGACTCAAAAGGACACAGAGTTACAAAATGACCACAAAGAGATGCAAAACCATCCCAAGAGACCCCAAAGAACTATAAAGAGACCAAAAATAAAAATATAGAGATGTAAAGAGGCACAGAGCTATCAAAATGAGGTGCAAAACTACCAAAAGGCCACACAAAACAATCACAAAGAGATACAGGACTGCCATAAAGAGACACAGAACTATAAAGACGCACTAAAGGACTGATGGCGCTATATAGAAGGTGTGAGGGGGGCTTTTACCTGTCCACGCCCAGGGATCCATTTTCACCTAATCCACCCATGCATGTTGGTGAAACATATGCTGAGTCATTAAATATAAAACAAAGAGTACCTGATGTGAATTTCTGTTAAGTTGTTATGGGAGCGCAAAGCACCAGCCAGCATGACCACTCCCACCATGCTGATGCCATTGTTACTGGCACTGAAAAACACATGAACACAATAATCAAGCAGGTGTGACAGAATCTCTTCATACAGATAAATGCCCCAGGGCACACGTGTACATTTCAGTCTCGGTACATTTTCTTTGTAATCTCTTTGGAGAGAAAATAATGGCCCTGCTTTTGCCAACTCACTGTATCAAGATTAGTTTGTCTTACTCTGTCTACCAGCAGCACAGTCTCATCTTTCCTTTCTTCAGCCTTGACAACAACAGTGAAGCCATGACACTAAATGATGCCACCAAGGTCACTCATGAAGACTAAATACACATCCCAGATAATGGCATTGATGCATTCCTTTTAATTTATTGAACATATGTTAATTGTGTGTCTGTGTTATTGTGCCATTTTATTTTTATTTGCACTGGTCTTACTTATTCTATTTTAGTCATTTATTGTGATTTTATTCTGCCATGTAAAGTACTTTGGTCAGCTGGATGTTGTTTATAAAGTGCTATATAAATAAATTTGATTTGATCCACATTTTATTTTAAACAGGTTGAAGCATTTTGAATGCTTTGTTTTGTTTGCACTTGGGTCTTACCTGATTTTTTGGATGTTGCTAAGACGAGGCAGGAACGCCAACAATTTCTTCAGACTTTTGTCACCTAAACAGTTACTGGACAAACTGACAACAAAGAATATGGAGTTACTATCAGGAACAAGAGAGTACAACTTTGGAGAACTGCCAAAATAACAGCAACACTTAAGTAATGGAGAGAAATGTGGTATAAACAGTATAAAAGATCATTTAAATGAAGTTTATACAGCCCTTACTGCACCTCAGGACATACAGTACCTCAGGAAATAAAGCATGGTAAAGAACAATCTGTGGTCTGCTATGAGACTGACACAAGCATGGTAAATATAGCTGACGTATGTTGGTCAATGCTGCTCAGCTTGTAACATGAGTGGTCAGTAAACATTGATGTCCCTGCCAACTCATTACAACACAAGGTAGTGAATGTAGAAGCTATCTGAGTCCCAGACACATGCATTAGTATTTTTGTGTGTGCACAACCATGTCTTTATATGACTCTTACTCCAGCACAGTGAGATCAGAAGAGGTCCCCAAACTCCGCCACACTCTGTTCATATCAGCAGGCAGCAGACCACAGCTGCTGAGACTGATAGAGAGAATGGCTTCATGATCATCATCGTCAGTGTCATTTCTGCTGTGACCGTGATAGCCTAACTTTCAGTCACCATCATTCTCAAACTGAGAACATTTTATACATGTTATACAAACAATTGAAACTAATAAAACTATACAAACAGAATAAAACCAATGAATTTGATTTGAAAAATAAAAAAAGGATACATACCAAAGTGTTTTAGATATTTCATTTGCAGGCTTTTCTTTTCCCCCACTGAACCTTATAGACACCTGGCTAGGACCAGGGCTAGATTGTAGTCTAACACATAAAGAAACATGCAGTTACATAGCAGTACTTCAGGATTATTGCTGAATAGTTCATGAGCATTTATGAATATCTCCTATACTGAAACCCTGGAAGCAAACCTTACTGTATGTGCCAATTGTTCTACACAGGATTCAGGAAAATGGCATCATAGGACGTCAGATATGAGAAATAATGTACAGTATGTGTGACGATGTAGGAAAATGTGCATTTATAGTATGGGATGCACATTACAGGTGTGTTTGTACCTGATAAGAAGCTCAACTACAGATGGACAATCAGAGAGCAGAGCGGTCAGAACCACCAAACCCTCCACTGAAGAGCAGCTGCCATGCAAACTGAGAAAAGATATGGGGCCGTCAGAAAACTGGTACTGTTCATTTTTATGGATGCTAAACACTGTTTTTTTTGTACTTCCCTATCCTTAACCACAAAATATTGAACAGCACATGAAATGTGCTTTATGCTTTTTTTCTATAACTAGGTACACTATATTATATTGCACATCAAGCACATGCAGAATACACCATAAAAAGTGCTTTGTGCTTCTTCGTTTCTATAAATCCATCTCTTACATGATCATTTGGGTCACGTTGAACTTTGGCAAAAACTGGATCAGTGTCCTCAGAGTTTCCACATCCCACTGGCCTCCAGAGAAACTAGGTAGCACATAGTGTACACACAGACACACACGCATTGCATCTGATTTGATTAAGTACACAATACAAATTGTAAGTCATACTTTGTGTGGTGCTATGTATGTGATACACACGCCCAAATGCACTGTGCAGACTATTCTAAGAACATGAAAACTTATTGTGTGGAACCTCGCTAAGGTGGCAAAAAAGAAAGTCACTGCTGATAATAAAAAAATAAACTTCTACCAACTACTTACACTGAATATTTCTAATATGGACACTTCTTTTGTTTCAAAGATGGGATGTTTAGTTAACCCAGGACAGAAGATAAAACAGTATGTCAACATCTTGCTGTTTTCAGTACTGCATTATTCTGTTTCAGTATATTGTAGAGGGGGTTCTGAATTTGAAGAGGTGTATTTAGTGTTACTTACTCCAGGACAGACAGGGCAGGGCAACATGCCAATGACTTTGCAAGTTTTTGCATCTCAGACTCGCTCCATTTCTGGTTCAACAAGCTGGAGAAAAATGGTACCAAACACTAAGGCTTTTAACAACATAGCAAGAATAAAGACACTGACAACTCTGAGTCAAGCTGAAATCAAATGGCACAGAAAGTAAACTGCTTTGATTAGATGACATCCAGGTGTTAGTAATAACACACCAGTAGTAATGAAGTCACAGGCCAAAGGCCGTTTCTAGTCAAGATTAACTACTTTCGAAATAGTTAAAGTACTTTGATAACTACAATTTAACTTCAAAGACGAAGCAATGTTCTCCAAGACAACAGGCACACCCATGTTTTGTAAAGTAGTTAACATGTCGTAACAGCATTATAGTTTAATGTCTTACCTGACTCTTGATTCAAACTTAGCTTGGTGGCTGCAAAGGGGAAGTTATACAGTAAATATTATGGAGCTCAGCTTGGTTAATATTTGTTTTGTTGTTTTATTGCTTTATTTAACCAAGAAACTCACCTGTTCATATCTGACTTTTGGAAAAAAGTTACTGTGACTTCTTTCATCCCACTGCAAAAAGACAAAAATCTATATTTTATGACAGTTATGCAATTTTCATGCAGTTTTCATTTGACCCACTGTTACAGTACTTAATTGCTTTGAGGTCTATAAAATAAGTTTGTAAGACTGAAGGTTATGTGAAGGATAAAATATTTTGGTTACAAAATCAAACCAATAGAATGAAGTGTACAATATAAAGTCAATAAACTACAGTCAATTGTTCAGCTAAGTTGAAAGTGTGTTGTATGTATGTATTCTAGTGTGTATGTGTGTGTGTGTGTGTGCGTGGTCATACTCTGCGTGAACATGCTGGATGTTCAAACTGGAAGACATTTTCCCAACTAGATAGACCACTGCTTCCAAAGAGCTGTTGTTTCGACCCAGCCTACAAGGTGCACAGACACACACAGACACACACAGACAAAAAAATTCACACAAATAAATTGTAGGTAACACACAGAAAAATGCTGAGACACTTAGTTGTACTAAGTAACAGTCTCGACAGAAGTATGTCCTTACATCACAGAGACCAGCCTTGATAGTTTGGTGAAGATATCAGCTATGTGTTTGATGCCCTCGTCTTTCAAACTGTTGTCGCTCAGACTGAAACACAAGAACACCAAAACAAAAGCTTGGTGTCAAATTTTAGACTTGAATTCAAAACATTTCATCATTATACAATATTAGAGATTTAGTTTCAGAAAAAAACATTTAGTAAGAAACAACAAGCCCGATGTTGTGGGGCTGTCTAGGCTGACACGCCTCTGCAACGTCGCATGGCAGTTGGGGACAGTGCCTCTGGACTGGCAGACCGAGGTGGTGGTCCCTCTTTTCAAGAAGGGGGACCGGAGGGTGTGTTCCAACTATAGGGGGATCACACTCCTCAGCCTCCCCGGGAAAGTCTATGCCAGGGTACTGGAGAGGAGAATTCGACCGATAGTCGAACCTCGGATCCAGGAGGAACAATGCGGTTTTCGTCCTGGCCGTGGAACACTGGACCAGCTCTATACCCTCTTCAGAGTGGCAGAGGGTTCATGGGAGTTTGCCCAACCAGTCCACATGTGCTGCGTGGATCTGGAGAAGGCATTCGACCGTGTCCCTCGCAGAGGGCTGTCCTTTGTCACCGGTTCTGTTCATTATTTTTATGGACAGAATTTCTAGGTGCAGCCAGGGGCCGGAGGGAGTCCGGTTTGGGGTCCACAGGATCTCGTCTCTGCTTTTTCCAGATAACGTTGTCCTGTTGGCTCCATCAAGCCAGGACCTCCAGCGTGCACTGGGACAGTTTGCATTCACCTAACATGTAAACATGCTAAAGTTTGCAGCCGAGTGTGAAGCGGCTGTGATGAGAATCAGCACCTCCAAGTCCGAGGCCATGGTTCTCGGTTGGAAAAGGATGGCTTGTTTCCTTCATGTTGGTGGAAAGTTCCTGCCTCAAGTGGAGGAGTTAAAGTATCTTGGGGTCTTGTTCATGAGTGAGGGAAGGATGGAACGGGAGATCGACGGGCGGATCGGTGCAGCTTCTGCAGTAATGTGGTCGATGTATCGGTCCGTCACGATGAAGAAGGAGCTGAGCTGTAAGGTGAAGCTCTCGATTTACTGGTCGATCTACGTTCTGACTCTCACCTATGGTCATGAGCTTTGGGTCATGACCGAAAGGGCAAGATCCCGGATACAGGCGGCCGAAATGAGCTTCCTCCGCAGGGTGGCCGGGCGCACCCTTAGAGATAGGGTGAGGAGCTCGGTCACCTGGAAGGAGCTCAGAGTAGAACCGCTGCTCCTCCACATCGAGAGGAGCCAGCTTAGGTGGCTCGGGCGTCTGTTTCGGATGCCTCCTGGGCGCCTTCCTAGGGAGGTGTTCCGGGCATGTCCCACCGGGAGGAGGCCCCAGGGAAGACCCAGGATACGCTGG